TGCAAAAAAAGGTTGTTGTCTTGTTAAATTAGGTAACCATACCAACCAAATAAAGAACAAATTTAATCATAGTACTGCCCAGATATAAATTTACATGGCGACTTTCACAATAAGCCCAGACCTCATATTAGTATTCCTGCCAAATTTAGTTGATATAGCATTTATATAAATTTATTTATTAGTTTTGTCTCAAAATTTGCTATTCTAATCGATTGTGCATAAGGAAGAGTGAGGCTTGAACTAACCAGAAGGAATAAGTTTTTCTTGCTTGCCTAAACTTAAGAGATTATAAAGAAGCTAAAACGTCTACCAGAGAAACAAAAGATATCAGACCAAAGACCACCACCAATCATTGTACTTCAAATTACAATCAATCCAATCTAAAGGTAAATGGAAGAAGTGATTAGTTGAATATGAGAAAAATATGAGATTTAGTTTAATGGTTAGATCATAGTTCAAAACCACCTAAAGAAAGAGGAGAAACTGAATACAAGCTAGGGTCAGAAACAAAATACAAAATCAAATAGTGAAGGTTAATGCTTTGGGTTGTCTGGAAATTAAGTCACAAAGTTAACTAAGTGCAAGGTATAGAGATTAAGAAAAATAAATTATGGTACTAAAGTCATTCAGTGTGATGAGCATTAAAGTTACTAGCAACATTACAATTTTGTAGGGATTAGAAGAATGATAAAGAGAAAGGTTATTGAATAAAGTGTTGCTAAATAAAATCATATAAAAGACCTGAATTCATGACAAATAGGCAAATTGGTATTGAAGTATATGCATGTTACCATATGAATTTTCATTAGTTCATGGATAATGCCCATCAGCACTGAGATCCTAAAATAAAATTTAAATGAGTTTTACAAGGATTTTTTATGTTTTATATCTTTTACAACTAGTGTCATAATTTAAATTATTACAAAGAATTATTCTATATTATTCTTATATATATATATATAAATTCAAAGAATTATAAATTTCTGTATTATCATTAGTAGAAGGAATTTTGTTCAAATAATTTTAAAATGCTCATTAAAGAGAACTTTGTTTAAAAATATTATAAACTGCTGTATTCTAGTTGGAAGATAGCCCTCATTAGGAGATAACCTTCATTGGGACCTTATAAAATAATAACCCTTATGAGGATATAACAAAGTTGCATAGTCATTATCACAAACAAAATACCATGACTAATATAAAGAAGATCCAGCGCCAGGGTTGGCAAAAAAAACCCAACCAAAAAAAACCCAACTTAAAAAAATCCAATAAAACCCAAAAAAAAACCAAAGTATATATGTCCTATTTTACAACTGATAACTCTGATTTTAACACTTATAAATGCTCTTTTATCAGCAAGTGCAACTTTTATGCTGTAATTATGCTTGTAAACATGTATTTATATACAAAATGTTTATATACAAAAATAATTATGCTGTAATTACTCTTGTAAACATGTATTTATATACAAAATGGTATTTAGAATATATCCAAAACCAATCAATCTGTTTTTGTAGCAAGTTGGTTGTTTATTTTTTTTTTTTAAACATATAGCAAGTTATTATAAATATTATTAAAACATTAAATTAGTTAAATACTTATAAAGGTAATAAAATTTATTCTATTAACTAAATTTCAAAATACAAGACATTACAGTTATTTAGTATCTTTATTCTTCTCTCAAATGTCTATATTTCCAAACAAGCGTTCTATAGATGTCATTTTATATTGGTATTTGATCTTTTATTTTTTAAAGCTTATGTTAAACTGTAAATTTCAGTACAAGTACAAAAAATTTCGGTACCAATTGTTAAATTTTATTCACAGTCTAGAAATGGAAAGTTGTCAGGCAAAAAAAAATTGCTACAGCTTACTAGACTTGTCCTTATTAAGTGCATACAACTTTAAAACATAAAAAAAAATGTTATGTGAAAGCAAGTTTCATTCAATGATAGAACATGTTGAAAACTTGTATACAGTTCACAAGGACAAGATTTGTTGGTAAAAATGATACTCATGCTCATCTGTCTATTTTACAGGTTTTGAATATTTTGCATTAGCTACAAGTTTACAACATGTACCCTCAACAGGGGTCACTATGAACAATAGGTTGAAAATGAACCTCGGTAGCAAGTTTTCTAAAAGGTGAAGTAACACACGCAATAGAGCTATATAATGTGTTAATTTGATTCAGTTGCAAAACTGAGCTGGTAAAACATCTTCAAGTAAAAAAAAAGAATCTGGTGGTGAAGACACTGTAATGGTTATTGACAAATTCATTTTAGATATTTCAAGATCAATCAAAGCTTGTGTCAATATCATCACAAATTGGCTAATCATTACTCTTTAATCTTAAGTATTTGGATATAATTGCTAAATTATATCTAATTTTGTATTAAGAAATATTTTAAATATTTGTTACATTATTTAAGTTCTAAATATCCATGTTAGATTAGCTGAACTTCCTGTTTTTGATCATTCTTATAAAGATTGTCGATTGATGATGGCAGCCCAAAAACTTGGCTTATGGATGGAAGCTAATCTTACTATTTTAAAAATTACTAATATATATAAAGTAATATATATAATATATAATATATATAAAGTAAGAAAATTAAGATAATTACTGCATAATGTTGATCAGGCCGATAACTTTTCTAGGAAGCTGAACAGTATAATGTTCTGTTAAAAAAAACGTAGTGATGTAAAATGTAACAGTTTTCTTCTATGATGCAAAAGTGTTTAAAAAGTGTTTAGAGTCATCCTGATTGACAATAATTTACAAGGTTGCAACATCATGTTGCAAACTTTTTGATTACATATTGTAAACTTAGTTTTTGAAATGATATGTTGAATTGTCATAATAATTTATATAGTGATTTTTTTTTTGGGCAAAAATAATCTGAACATGTTTTTAATTTAGTGCAATTAATTAAAATCATTTATAGTTGATGGAGTCCCTTTTTGCACTATAGGTATAATATGCTAGTAGACTAGTGGTAAAACATTTGGCTCGCAATCAGAAGGTTGGGGTTCAAACTACCTCTGCTGAAATTACTGTGCTTAATCTATTTCTCCGCACAGCGCCTTTGTTTAAAAATATTAATTGTTAATTTTGTTTGTTAGTAAAAATGGTAATGTTAAGGATTGAGACAAAACAATTTTTAAAAATGAGTTGCTCCCTTGACTAAAGTGGTTACTGGAACAATTGGGAGGTGAATTTATGATTTTTTTTTTTTTTTCTTTTTTTTGTTGTGTGTATGTATTTAGGTGCTCCCAGAAGTCCTTGCGGTCTTATCATAGAGACCGGCGGGAGAGCATTTAACAGGAAGTTCACGCCTCCTTCCGTACCAATGTCGCTTGTTGGGTTAGAGCTGGCGTCGAACCTCGGACCTCTGGGTTCTGAGCCAGAACTCTATCCACGGCGCCACGGCTGCTCATGTCAGGGTTAGGGTTAAGGTTTTTTAAATTAAAAAAATATATATTGTACACATACAAATATAAAAATTTGGTATTTTGATAGGTTTTTAAAAAAACCCAAAACACCCATAAAACCAAAAAAAAAACATTTGGGTTGGGTTTTTTTAAAAAACCCAGGGTTTTTTCCAACCCTGTCCAGCGCTCATCATCCTAGGCAGGAAACAATCTAATAGGTTTAAATCTATACTAGCTTATTAAATGAAGAAGCTGGTCAACAGAAAGTTATTGACTACCTCTAAATTTTATTTGTAGGAGGCTTTTTACAAGACAATACCAGTTAACACCTACCCTACTTGAGACAATACCAGTTAACACCTACCCTACGTGAATATTTTTATAAAAACAGCATTTATACCTTTTAACTTAACTAATCGTTTGCTAAAGTATTGGAAGTCCTGCTATGCTGTAAAAAGTTCAGTTGATTTCATTGCTAACTCTAACTGTAACAGCTGATTTCACTACTAACTCTAACAAGATAATGATGATCCTGACTAGGATTGTCAAAAATTGTGAAAATAGCTGTCCGGATATACCCGCTGAATGAACAAGGAGGTACCTGTTAAATAAACAATAGTTTTTATAAAAATTGTACTTAAAAAGTCATTAAAAACTTTTCATTAAATGATGTCATTTATTTATAGTTTTTTTTTTTTTTCACTTATATCTAAATTTTATTTTACTTTAAGTGTAAAGGGTACTCCCAACTATGATTTACTATGATATACTAGCATGTCTATGATATACAACTATGATATACTAGCATTCCTGTTTTGGATACCAAAGATGCATGCTGTCATTTGCCCAGCAATCGAGAAGGCTTAATCTGTCGCAATGAAGTTGCAAGTTAAATAAGCATAATTATATCTTCCTTCTTCCAGGTTTTTAAGAGCTTTGTCTGAAAGACAAAGCTCTTTAAAAATACCATATATACCATTTATATACCAAAAATATTTTTTATTTTATAAATGTTAAATTTTAATTACTCAACTTGTTTCTGAGCAATCTTCTCATGTTTTTTTCATATTTAAATTTTGTGATTTAGTAGAGAGAAAACAAGAACAAAAGGCAATTATTTGCACTTAAAATTTGAATGAATGATCAATTTTAATTGCGTACATTGCTTTTAAATACAGTTTTAAAAGGTGTAAACGATTATTTATATATATTGTCTTCATTTATATTTATTTTCATTTTTATATTATAAATGCGCATAAAAAAATTTATTTAAAAATCTTAATATATTAGTATTATGAGTAAAAATAATGAGTTTTTGCCTTCTCTTTTTCAATTAGGGCTAAAGTGTATAAACGTTTACTTTCTCTTTCTCTTCCTTTCTTATGTAAATCTCTTATTTTAAGGGAAAGTTATGACTTTTTTTTGGGGGGGATTTAGTAAGAAATTTAATAATAAAAGTTACATTTACTTAATATATTTTCTTAATTTATTTTGTTCCTATTAGGAACTGCCTAATATCTTATAACTAAATGTTTTAAAAGTTTATCTTTAAATTTTTTTCTTAGACATGACAAAATAGTTGTTGAAAAATTCAAGTCTGTTGCAACTAGTCAAGCTAAAGAAATACCGAAGACTCAACAATTCTCAATATCGTTAACTGAGTAAAAAAAATATTTAATAATGTTATGGTTTAGGAAGTAAGCATGGTTTTGCGAGAGTAAAATGTAACTAAAAAAACGTTTTATTGATTTTTTTTTGTGGGATTTTAGGTTAAAAAGAAAACACCCCGACCGCCATGTTCCAATTGTTGTTAGTTCTTGCATTGAATTTATAGAAGAAAATGGTACGATTTTGTTTTCATAAAAAAATAGCTAATCTCATCAGAATGTTTTAATCGATTTTTTATTTTAGCCTTAGATATCGAAGGGATCTTTCGAAGGTCAGCGCAAGTCAATTTGGTAAACGAAGCAGTTGACGCATTTAACATGGGTATCCAATCATTTTTACAAATAAATTTGAAATGAAATTTTGCAATATATATATATATATATATATATATATATATATATATATATATATATATATATATATTAACAAATAATATTATTTGGGTTTTAATTACTCTTCAAAACTAGGTCAAATAGCTCAATTTTCAACATCAAATGTTCATCTTGCGACTGCACTACTAAAGAAATTTTTGCGTGACTTACCTGAACCTCTGTTGACATTTAAGTTATACGGATCAGTAATGGAATTTTCTTGTACGATATCATTTGTTGATTTTTTTTTTATCTTGCTGTATTTTTGTATTTTATATGCGATTTAAAGCTAGCTTGTTTTCAGCGCTACCAGAAGAAGACAAATTAAAATGTACGAAACGAATGCTCAATGAGTTTTTACCGTCTCTTAACCACGATTTACTCGTATATTTGTTACGCTTTTTAGAAAAGGTTCGTTTATCTTTTTTTTTTAAATATTTTTACTTAGATATTTAAGGTTGTCATAGGTACATATATTTTAGGTTGTTGAGCATTCTTCAGCGAATCGCATGGTGTCATCGAGTTTGGCGATTGTTTTTGGACCAAATTTATTATGGTCGGATACTGAGAGTGCAAGCCTCACTTCCATGTCAAAGATTAACTCTTACTGCAAATATCTTATTGATAATTCACATTTAATTTTTGACGAAAGCGTCTCGTGAGCAGTATATATATTTTCTGACACTCGGTGGTTGATCCGCCGTTTTGCTGATTGAATCAGCTGTTTGAAATATACAATAAAAGTTAAATTTAGACATAAGATGCAGATGTTATCTGGTTAATTGATTAGGTTTAATTTAAGATTTAAATAGTGTATATTTAAAACTGAATGTCTTTGTTTGATTTGGGATCAAAACTGTTTTTAAAATAAAAGTAACTTGTGAATATAAGAAAATATCAATCTAAACATAATAGTAATATATATTCTATACTGGCTTTAAAAAATAAAAAAATTTAAAATTGCCAGTGATTCCTAAACAAAGACACAAAAGTTTTAACTTTATTTTGTACATTTACATTGTAATTAGTGCTGTGTACGAACTGCAAAGATTCATCGTTCACATACATTGTTACATACATCGCTCGCGTATATACATCGCTTATCATTCAGGTATTGTACACGAATCGTTCAGGTATCGTAACTCATAAAATTAAATTTTAATTTTACCCTTTACATTTTTTATGAAAAATATAAATAAAGCGATTGGAACAGTTAATAATTCTAAATAGTATTTTTTGTAATGAAAAAATATTGCCAGTAAAAACTGTATCATGTTTGTTTTACAAAATAATAAAAAACTGGTTTGTTATAAAATTAATTTTCGATCTTTAACTTATTAAAAAGATAATTATAGAATTATGATTTGTTTTTTACTTTTATTAATACATTATGTTTTGGTCAATATTATATTGGCATAATTTTATTATTGTAACAAGATTTTTTACCCGACTTTTGTAAAAATGTTTAATCCAAAAAAAAGAGATCGCATAAATATATATATATATATATTTTAATACTTTTAATGGCATGGGTATATAAATGAAAAGTTATATTTAGATTTCAATAGCATGAGTAAATAAATGGAAAGTTGTATTTATGGTTTTTTTTTAGTTTTTAATTTATTAGTTAAGTAGTGAAAATTATTGCAGAGGTGCATAAAAACTTAAAAATTGAATCGGGATGTTCCCTTAAAATATTTTTCAATAAATTGTTTAAAGTTCTTTATTGGACCAGTGCACAGTGGTACAAAACTTCAAAAAAGTGACCATATTTCAAAGTTTTTTAAAACGAAAAATGATTTTTTTTTTTTAATGAATTATACTGCTAGTATTATCTAAAAATATATAAGTTAGTTGTTTTTGTTTTATACCAGGATCGCTACATGGATTTAAAAGACGTTTGTAATAAATTTTCAATTAAAAAGTACGGGGGCAACTTTTTTTTAATTATTAATATCTTTTTTTTATGTAAGTTTGCCATAAATACAATACCCATTTTCGTTTTTACAAAAATTACAAATAGCCGGTGTCGCGGTAAATTAGGGCTCAGGAAATAATGGCTTCGAAAGTATATATATTATATATATATTAATTTCCCGGTAAATTAGAACCTTTCGAGTTTAGATTTACCAGGAAATTAAGAGTGAAACGGTAAATTAATACTCCAACAATCTCTTAAAAGATCATTTCGCTACAGATTAAACTAAAATAACATCGCGCAACGCCTAGAAAATTATGTTGAAAATGCACAGAAAACTGGTTATAACTATGACTCAGTAAAAGATAAAATACTTCTAGAATTTCTAAGAGATCATAAAGAGCGCTAGAGATGGATTAACGTTTTCCCAACAGACAATATACCATATAAACATTACACTGTAATTTGTGCAAAACATTTTCCATCAAACTTCCTAGTTATTAAAGTAAAAGGAAAAAAAAATCCTCGAGATCCACCTAGTGTATTTGAATTAATTTAGAGTTTAGTGCCATCTCTTCCACTAAAAAAAGAACAACAACAGAGCTTAGAAAAACTCTCAGACCAGTAAAAGAAGATGAATTTTCAAAATTCGTAGAGTTTGACGAAGTTGACTCATTTAGAATATTTTGCGGTTATTTATCTCAAGGAAGACTTAATAATTCATTAGCTTATCTATTTATTTATTTTTTGAATAGATGTTGTTTGTAATCAAAAGAGCATTAAAGCAATACTGGTATTAGTAAGTTGCGTCTAATATTATTCATTATTACTTCGTTAGTTAAAAATTGTATTTATAAGGTCAAAAGTTGGTCACATCATTTGGATATTTGATTTCTTTTAAAAAGTCAGAAAAGAAAACAATTTTACGTCAGTAGGTTGAAGGCATAAGTTAAACTCAAGTAACATTTTTTAGCAAAAATATTCACCTGAAGTTATTGTTTGAGCTTTAGAACATTTTGCACGGTCACATAGTTTAGACACAGATTTTTATCTTCCTGACACTTATAACTTCAACAGTTTCACACTTTTATTTGCAGTGTTTTTTTAAAACTCAACAAAATTGTCAAAAAAGTTGTATGTTATTACTATGTTAAACCTATGCTAACTTATCACAGGGACATTTGTATGGTAAAGCAAATATTTTAACCAAATCACCTTCTTTTGAAGCTTTTTTGATGTAAACCATAAAGCAGTAAACAATGAATCAAGTTTTGCAACAACTATATTGGCTTTCATGGTTGTATGTTTTTATGAGGGAACAAAATTTATAGTAAGAATGTTACCAGTAAATAATTTGGATTTCGTATACAATCAAATTAATATCCTAATCAACTAAATTAAGAAGACAAATGGAAAATTTATCAATTTAATTAATGATTATAATAGAGTAAATCGAGCATTTTTTTAAAACGATTTGATTGCTTATCTCTATGGTTAACAACTGATGGCATTTTTTTACTTTTTGATTTTATGCATGTATTAAAGTGTATACGAAACAATTAGATAATTGAAAAGTCTGCTGAAATTGAGATAGTCAGCTGGTTAAAATGTCTAAGCTGACATATGTTGCTGCTAACCCAAGACTGATTTTTAGACAAAAGGTTGATACATGTTAAAAGAATTTTGTGAAGAGACTATAAGTGCATTAACTTATTACCAAGGTATTAAAAATAATGATATAGATGGAAGTTTTATTTTTTTTTTAGCTAAGGTGGTCAAGTAAAAATAGTCCACATAAAAAGTCTATTTGAAGAATAACATTTTTACAAAAGACATCTTACGAGATCCCATATCATCAGTAAATAATTTACAGTTTAATTAGTTTTATGAAATAAAAAGTAAACCTTAATTTAATGAAAAGGTTTAATGAAAGAGAATTAAAAGTATAACTATAGACACAAATAAATTATTGATGAAAGTAAAATAATGGTAAAGTAAGACTCCAATGATATCTTCTTTGATAAAATCAAATTTTTATTATTGATTTTATTTTTTTATTGATTTTATTTTCAATTGATGATAGAGAAATAACTAAACTTTTGATAATTAGTAGAAATATAAAATATTTAGAATATAGAAATTAGTAGAAATTAATAAGTTTAATGGAATGAAGTTTTACTTTTTTTTATTCATTGTTTTTCTTTAAAAAAAGATAAATAAATTGCTCAAGGGGTCAACCATAAAGAACATATTGCAAAAAAGGAGGGAGGGGGTTGGGATAAGAAGGATAAGAATAATGACATATCCAAACTCTTTTCTACAATGAATGATGAACTCAAAAACATATCTACTTGGTTCAAATGTAACAAGTTAACTCTTAACATTAATAAAACCAAATGGGTTCTTTTCCATTCACTCTCTAAAAAACGCTATTTACCCCAACATTTGCCCAAAATATTTATTGATAAAGTTGAAGTAAAAAGAGATTTTGTTACTAAATTTTTAGGAGTGGTTCTCGACGAGAACATTACATGGAAACCGCATATAGAATATATCTGCTCAAAAATATCTAAAAGTAACGGAGTCTTATATAAATCTACACCTTTTCAAGATGTAATTGAGAAAACAAAAATTGTAATTAAGAAACGTAAGATGTAATTGAGAAAACGTAAGATGTAATTAAGAAACATTAGATGTAATTTAGAAAACGAAAATTGTAATTAAGAATCGTAACATGTAATTGAGAAAATGTAAGTTGTAATTAAGAAATAGAAAGATGTAATTGAGAACACGAAAATTTTAATTTAGATATCGCTTTAAAGGAGTAAGTGTAATATGGCGCTTAAAAAAAATGGCGCGTAAAAAAATGGAGCGTATAAAATGACGCACTTAAAAATGACGCAAGATTTGTAGCGTAAATTTAATTTTTTAGGGAAAAATTTAGGGAAAAATTTATAATTTTTGGGCAAATGAATTTAACATAATAAACACGAAAAACATTTTAGGGAAAAATTTATAATTCAATTAAAAATTATAATTAAAAATTATATAATTAAAAATCACTTCATTGATCATTTAAGCACCAACTTGTACGTCTTCCATATTTAAAATAGTTGCATAGTGCGTGGTTGTGTGTTGTACCGCACGTGCACAATCTCCTCCCATTATGTTATTTTTCGCCTCAATTACAATTCGTTCTAAGTACTGCATGCGCTGTTCCGCAATCCCGTCACCTAATACAGGTGGAATGCGAATTGCATTTTTAACGTTACTTTTAATTTTAGACAAGATCGTTTCCACCGGGTTCAACATTGGACTGTAAGGTCCCAAACGTAACAACTGAGCTGGTGAATTATCAAACACCCTTTGCAAACGAGCGTGACAAGGAGCATTATCTGTTACGACGACCAAATCCTCCAAACGATTCCCGGATGAAACCCACTGGTGAAACATAGCCAACATCCACTCGTTACAGGAATCTGCTTTAAATGATCCCCTGCGAGTTTCTATCATGACGACATTTGTAGTTGAAATAGCTGCAATCAAGTGTATGTTTAAACCTTTTGAAGCAGGTACTTTCATAATTCTCGCACGTCCTTGCGTTTTTCTACAAAAAAGGTTAAAATTTGTTTCATCCAACCAAACTATCTGACGACCATTTGTGATATGTTCGTTGATGTTTCTAACATATTCAGCTCTTTTTTGTTTGTTTTCATAACTGTTCATTGTAGAAGGCTCCTTGTGCACTTTTTTTAATGAGAACAATCTGCCTTCGAGGTAATTTGCTATTGTTGTTGTGCTAACGTTTATGTTTTTTTTTTTTTTTTTTCATTTTAATTCACCTCCTCAAGGCCGAGAAGGCCA